CGAACGACGACGAAAAATGTTCTCAGGGGCATAAAATGCACCCCTGACGGGCTGCGAACATACCCTCCTCCTGATTTTGCTTATAATATTTATAGAACGCGGCCGCACACATGCATTCATAGGACTCGATCCGACTACTAGCTTTGAACTTACGTAATTTGGCGGTCCCTCCACCTGGCAAAGTGTGTTTGACCACTTTTCGGTCCCAGTCAAACTGGGGTTGTGCTACAGAGAGGTAGTACATACCTAACAAGATATCCATGGGGAGTTCATCGCTCACTAGGAACGAGACACGATGTCTCAGTTCCCCTCCCGCGTACGGGAAACAAAACTCAACATTCCGGAGGTAGTCATTGACTACCATGCGCTATTTGTTGGCACAGGTCGACTCCACAGGTTGACTCAGGCGCAACGCACGCGCGACTAATGAAGTTTCGTGTCGAGCCAGTGTCATAATAGGCCCTGGTCTTGCGGTCGCCAATGACCACCTTGCTGACGAACATCTCACCGTTAGGAACTTTGACCAATGTCGTCCAAGAAGCTAGCGGGTCTGATCTAGACCACGTCTGATCTAGACCACTCCTCCTCTAGCTCCTCTAAGGACTCAAGCACATTCATCGAACAGAGGCTCGATGGGTCTGAATGTGTTTGCGGGACAATGCTGGAGTCAGTAGCTTGGGCCATCTCTTGAGATGGTGAGGGTGTGTCCACCACCTCAACCCTAGCAGGAACAGCTACTATTCCTACTGGCCCGACGTGTTTCCCGGCGCAATGCCAGAAGTGCTAGCCACATTGCTACCAACGGGAGTGGAGGATCCCAACACCTGCCCCATCATAGGCGGGATCTTCTCGGTCACCTTCTTGTTTCGGCACTTGAATTGGTTATGGCCATATTGGCCACAACGGATACAAGCCTGCCATGTGTACCGATCTTTGCACACGTCCTCAGTGAGACCCACTTTCTCCCATGGAGGACCATTGGGGTCAACTTGACTCCTTGACCGGGAACCTCCACGGCGTCTACCGGTCGCCTTACCTTTCTGTGCTAAGGCAGCGACTACTCCACCCCCTGAAGCCTATACGCTGCCAGCCTCTGAACCTACTCCCTCGTGGAAGTTGTCATCTAACTCAATGGTTGAACCATCGTTATCGACAAACATTATGGGACCCTTCGCCTTCCAGTTGGGAAGCAGTGATTTCTTCCTACCATCCGTCGTGGGATTATGTCCATGCCCTATCTTTGCCTCAAGATCTAGGGCCTTCTTGTTGAACGATGGGAAGTTGTGCATGTTGATGTTGGCCTCACCTGCCAACTGATTCCTGAGAGGCATGGGAAAGCATCTCAGGTAGGAGGTGAGTAAGACCTGGGGTCACAGCGCACCCCAGGGACACAGATCAGACGCTCTACAGCATCAGTGGCCTCTCTTACTGACTTGAACTGCCTCGTGTGCAGTGTCAGGATCGCGTCAGTGGCCTCTTGGGCCTCCTGAGGATCGTGTCACGTATCTTCCACCATCTTGAGAAAGTCCTCCAGTTTCTGGGTGACCGCCCAAGCGAGAAAGTCATGACCGTACCCCTGTAGCTGCACTAAACCACTCAACCATCGTGCTGCACTCCCCTCTAAATAGGAGGTAGCCACAAACACTTCCTCGTGCGGTAAGGTAAGTTTGCACTTGACATAAACCGACACTGCCCTCAACCAAGTGTCGAGGTCTTCGCCTCTCTTATCCCCTGTAAAGGGTTTTGGAGTGGCGATGGCCGTTTTCGACACCCACTGATTTTGTCCCGGTCCCTGCATCACACCGGGCTGTGGACCCTGTGGTGCAGGCTGCGGCACCGACTGTTGGGGTTGTGTACCCTTCGGTTGTGCAGGCTGCGAGACAGCAGGCTGCACACTTACGACAACCTGCGACGGAGGTTAGGTAAACACTGTCTGTACAGGAACCTGTAAACTAGGACCTGCTGAGAACCGTCATGTTAACGGCATACCCAGGGCGACAGGTTGAACCGATACTGGAGCGGTATATGGGGATACCCCAGTCACCGGTGGAACAAAAGGAGGAGTATGTACAACGGGCCAGGCACCAGGCCCGGATAGTGATGGTGCCACCTGCGCTCATCCGACCAAAACGGCCAGACTCTGCTGAATGTCCTGTAAGATTGTCATCTGTTGGTCTTGCATCTCTACTACTCCTAACAAGACCGACCTCAGGGCCCTCACCAGATCATCCAGCTTTGCTGGGTCCATCTCCTCTAACTCACTAATGTCCGCTTGTCGCCGCTACAACCTGGAGGCAATTGGCTATGCCCCAAGTATTTGCTGAGCTGTCCAGCCCTGCACCGTGTTTATCCTCGCGTGCAGCGAGCCTTACACCAATTGGCTGATCCAGAGGCAATTTAACGACCACCCCCAAGTGTCATCAGGAATTATTTTACGTCGTAGCAGGACGACGATCACAGCCAATGGTTTCCCCAGCCGGTGTTTATTTATAGACGCCCGGTACTCGTCTCTCCCATAGGGCTGGCCTGCCCTTCAGTACCCCTTCTATGAGCGCAGCAAGCAGACAAGGACAAAGCAGCAAAGCATGCGTGCTCTACTCCCGGTGGGTTGGCATGGTGACCGTGACCCAGTGCTCCGTCCAGGGCCCTTCAGAAAGCATCACCCTCTCCTTCCAAATGCTCCACGTGGACAATGTCGACTCTCAAGGTTGAGCGCACGACACCTCACATGAGAGGACTCTCAAGAAGGAACTCACAACCTCACGGTAAGAAGTGATGAAGAGGGTAGATAAGGTTAAGATCAACGTACCTCATTATAGCTGCCCCCAACCACAGATATTCTCACCAGATGACCTGATGGCGATCGCGATGACCAGTCACTGCATCGGCACAACCAGCATTATCTCGCCGTTCCACCTCAGCATCAATCAACCACCAGATAGTTCTCATCATACTGCGAACACCCAATATACACACAGCAGCCTTCCTGGCGATTCCCCTCTCCTCCTGGGTCGCCACACCTTGTCTCCGCCCTCCTCACTACACACCACCTACGGCCGCACTCACCAAGCAGACCGCATGTATGTACCGCATAGGCAGAAGACAAGCGCCAGATGAGCGCAACGTACCACATCTCTGGTACCAAATTGCAAGGAAGATGAGCAATAGCGAACTTCAGCAATCAAACAGCATCATACACATTAGACCAGATAGTTGTGACCTCGAACCAGGAGCAGAATTGCATCACGAGTTTCACCAAATAAGAGCACACCAAAAGCTCATAATTGACAATGCTGGAATAGTCTCATCATCATCAACGAAGAACCAATGTTGATATCCTATCTGGCGCTCGGCGCCCAGACTACAGATGGCAGATCCTATCTAGCCTAAACTACAATGCCGAAGATGACGACAACAGCTCTCCCGAAGTACGAGAAGATAGCGGCCAATGCCGCACGCTTCCAGCACCAGGTATGTCTCTCGCATCACTCACAACCTCGTTCCCCAACACACAGATGCCACATGCACCCAAGGACCACCCTGCGCCACACCCAGCTCACAGCAGCGCACCTCGGCTATGGCTGCCTGCTCCTTCCAGCTCGCCCGTGAGCGGGTGAGCGCTAGCCAGCTTCAGCGCAGCAGCGCTTGCGCAGCATGCAGCCAGCACCCGAATGTCCAATGCGGAGGCAGGCCCTTTGCTATATGGAAGTGGCCTGCCTGCTGCTGTGCTGGGCTTGTCCCAAGAAGCTTCCGGTAGGTCCCGGTAGGCTGAGGCCCAGTCCAAACGAATCAGGCCCAGGGCCTGTGGTGGTTACTTGTGCCCAACTGTCCTCCGCCTGTGTTTGGCCCATATCCCGTATCCAGCCCAGGGCCTGCCTTCCATACATGTAAACAGGAGGCCTGGGCCTGGGTGCTCTTCAACCAACTGGCACTGCGCAAATGCCTGGATTTTCCACAGTTGCGTGGTGACCGAAATAGGGGCCCTCAGGCCCTCATTGAGCCTGCCTTCACTTAGGGCGGCCGACGTGCTGCATAACAGAGCCAAAAAGGGGCTCATCGGGGCCTTGGCCTCGCATCACCCACCTAGGGCCTCATGATGGCCCCGGCACGATTTTCTGGTTGTAGGTCTCAAACAGGCCCAAGAGGCCTAGTGGCCTACCCAAAGAAATGTCTGAGCCCCCAGGCCTAAATATGCCACACACACACACACACACACACACACACACACACACAGAGAGTGCTGTCTTTGGTTGTGCACCATGCTAAGCCGCTCCACGCCCTGCTCATCAACACGCTGCTTGTTGCCATGCTGCTCATCTCTCTGCTCCCCATCTCCTTGCTGCTCCTCGACCGCTCGGGTGCTCGCTGTTTGCTTGAAGGAGGTGAGGGCAAGCGCAATGGTGATGGCAGAGGCATGCATGAAGCAGGTAGGCGCACATGAAATTCTTCACCGCAATTACAAAATGGCAGTGTACAACTCCAAAGGTAAGTTGAAACTGCAAACAGAATTGAAAAAAGAAAGTTAAAAGAAGGCGTGTGTCAGGCCCTGGTTGGATGCCAAACGGGGCTATTGAAAAATCTGGTTCTACTTTTGGTGGGAGCCCAGTGCATGAAACACGATGTGGGCTGCCAATTATTTTCTTTTGACCCTGGCCTAGGGCCTGGCCATCCTGACCGGGATGAGGACCCCATATCTGGACACTGGACTCCAGACGGTCATGATCCCTGTCTGGACGTCTGGATTGTAACCATGGTATAATGGGATGGGCACCCCATGCAAGGGGATGCAGAGACATGCTGCAGATCAGAGTTAAAGGTTCTCCCAAGCATCCTTCATTGGATAACAATGTGAATTTCGCCGTTTTCAAAATTCAGGGCAGTGTTGTCCTTTCGGAAATTTGCACCGCTATCATGTAACCTCTGCGAGATGTAGCGTTTATTTCAAAATGTATTTTCATGATGTTCATCATGTCCTCCGTCTCTTGAAATATTGTGTGCAGTTGAAAGCACTGGAAGTGAACAACGTTGTTCATTATGACCTCAAGTGTGATAACATTTTGCTTGAGCCAACTGATCCAAGCATTTCGGAAGCAGATTTCTGGGATCCTCCCTGTAATGTTCAATCTCGCTCCACCATGGAGGCAATGCCGCCTGATTGCAAAGGTGAAATGGGAAAAGCAGGAAGAGAAGTCACTCGAAATGCTGGCCACTTGTCATGTGTGCTTCCATTCAGAGTTTGTATTGCCGATTTTGGGCAGAGCAAGATTGGGAGAAAGAGTGACTGGGATGGGGAGTATGAGGGTGTCATCACTGCTGGAAACCGGGGAACCGAATGTGTCAAGAGCCCAGAAATGCTGCTTATATCAAATGCAAGCTTCAAAAGCCGTAGCACCTATGACAGACGCAAGAAGGTGAGCGTTTCTGTGCTAATACAAAGCTACTACTGCCGAATGTGTGTCTCTTAATCTTGAGGAACTGACGAGTTCATATGATAAAAGCTGAAATAAGTGTGAGGATTGAGCCCTCAAGTAGGGGCCTTGCCATGATGTACATGTTCTGGGCTAAGGCCCCAGCAAGCCTAGTGCCCGCCCTAAGTGAAGGCGGGCCAGCAAATC